GTGGGAGTGACTCCGTTCTCTTTGAGTTTTAAAAAACTATTATTTTCCCTTACAAGTTGACCATGCATATATTTACTCATATCAACATGGTTAATGATATCGCACAGTCCATCAAGTGGAACATTAAAGTAGATTCAAACCTACCCCAAAATTTTTTGACCTCAGGTGAAACGGGGTCCTGGGTACTTTGGCATTCAGGTTACACATTCCCGATTAAGAAAACAGGTTCTTTCGTCGCAATAAGTGGTTGCAGGTCAGAGTAGATGGGACACATTTGCAAATATAGAAAGCTATAAAAGAAAAAAATACGCATAAGTTATCTAGCATTGCTGGCAGAAGATAAGGAAAAGCAGATACTTTGTTAGCCTCAAGTCTAATCTCACGATATAGGTGACAGCGAAGGTATTTTTTCACCTCAACGTAAAATTACCCAGAAAAATGCAACAGAGTCAGGAATCACCGAGTACTTTGCCTACTGGGTAGTGCGAACCCACCAGAGCCTAGTTTGGCCTCAGCACATAACCAGCCTCTCCGGAAACTGAAGAACCGAACATTGAGTTTGAAAAAAGTAAGTGATATCCGTGGTCTCTCCCTTTTTGGTAATCTGCCCGTACAACAGAATTTCATTTCAACTCAAAGTTTTCTGAGTATTTAGGTCCAAGTGAATTGTGCGTTTGCATTGTTGAAACACTTACAGTTTCTTAACACTTCTTTTGATCACTTCTTTCCTCTTGGCTTTGTCTTGACTAAAAGGGCTTATACAGGGTGCGGTTCTTGTAAACCAAAAGCCGCTCGAGTTGATTGCAATTTAGCGAGAATCGATCAACAATTAGTACGATAGGGTCTGGAATGGTCCTTTGTCTGTCACGCGTATTGAAACTGATAGGGGATAATTAATTATCGTTTAGCAGCCAGTTTGTACGATAGGATCTGAGAATGGTCTCTTAATCTGCGTTTGTGCAATTTTCCATTTGCGCCAACGCTAAACGCTAAGTGTGATAGTGCTGTAAGTACAAGTAATAGAATGTGGAACGCTCCCTAGGAAAAGAATATTTTACAAGACTGATGAAGGTAAAAGTCGTTACTATTATGCATAAAAAAAAAAAAAACACTTTTCCAACTATATAAACTGTGATTTTGCTGGGCTTTGTTCTCAGTGTTTTATAATTACTGACGTATTTATTGGCATATACTGAAATAAGTAAATGAGTAAATGCATAAATTAATAAATTAATCAGTCGATTAGTATCAAATTATACAAATAAATAGGTTTACATGAAAAAACTATATAGAAGTAAATAAAAAGGAATAGATCACACACTCTTGCCCAAAATGGTTGGTACACGGAAATTTTGGGATGCATATCGCCCTGTTTCTTTCATTATTATTATTGATATTATCAAATTAATACTGTTTATATTGTTAAATATGTGAAGCTGGAGGGTTGGTAAAGTCAAGGAGAAACAACCAATGCAAATGTGAAAAAAAGCGTTAATTTATTTAGTTTTTTTCTCATGCCCCCCAAAAGAGTACTTTTTTTTACATAACAGTACCAAGTGAAAAATTAAACATAAATTTCTATGATTGACAATTTTAATTTTAAATTTATTAAAATATGAAATTAGGGGGAATTGTTAAGAAACATCTTCAGAGTTCATTATTAATCTAAATAGCGGGTATGCCCACCCCGAGCTTGGATAATGGCCGCCAGACGGCGTGGCATACTGTGAACTAGAGTTACAGCTCTTTGGAGAGGAATTCTGGTCCATTCATCTTGAAGGGCATCTCGCAGTTCATCTAGATTTGTAGGGGGAGGGTTTCTCCTCTGAATAGCACGACCAAGTTCGTCCCACATGTGCTCAATTGGGTTTGCATCTGGGCTTCTTGCTGGCTGTGGCATCAGCTGAATTTTGTTTTGTCGGATATAGTCTGCAATTAAGCGGGCTGTGTGGGGAGTTGATTGTTATGTTGCAATCTAAAATTGTCTCTGTATATCCCTCTTCCGAACGGCTCCAGGTTCTGCTGGAGAATGTCTCTGTATCTGGCAGCGTTAAGGTTTTCATCCAGAGGAAGCAATGGGCAAATGCCGTTGCTGCAAATGGCACGTACCCCAAACATGTACAGAACCACCTCCTCCAGCTATGAGAATGCGTAGGCTCCCTGGGGAGAGGCTGTTAACTAAAAATATTCAGGAAACAATAGCTGGAGGAGGTCTTTCTGTAAAGGTCTGGAAAGGTATGTCTAGTTACAGTCAAACAACCAAGATTTCAGAGGAAGAACACATAAAGATTACAATGTCAATCTTCAACAAAAGTAAATTCCGATTAGAAACCTATCCTCGAATTGTATTAACGGGATTCGATGCCGTGGATATCGATGGAGATGGACGCATATCAAAGCGGGAATTTGCCACCTTTTTCTACGGTATGAACGTCCCAGCCGAATATTCGAAGGATGTCTTTGATGTTCTAGACGAAAACAAAGATGACTTCATTTCTTTGGAGGAGTATGCACAAGGTCACGTGGAGTTTTGGTTCGGTGAGGATCCAAATAGCAAGTACAACGAATTTCTGGGTCCACTTGTTCAATAATTTGCTTTTCCTACGACAAGAGGAACATTCCATATATTAAAGTTGTTATTTTAAAGATTGAAACCTGCTATAAACTAAATCTGTACTACATGTATTTACGCGAACATGAACAGATGGGCGTATAGATATATGCATTCTCTTGACTGAAGATACAGTGCATATATTTACATGTACAGTTATTTTTTTAAAAGTCCATTGGTCAGTAAAATACGACAAAATATTGTCAAGTGTGGAGATCTGGTTTGCAGCCAGTAATGATGAAGCCATGCTTGATTTACATTGACGTTTAAAGGAGAGTTATATCCAAATGTAATTGAGGCACCTTTAGGCAAGCAATGCCACTGATGTTTTATTGCGCTTGTAAAATGAAAAAAAAAAATAAAATAAAATAAACAGTTAAATCGACCCAAAGCTTTCTTTAAATCTGAGATCGCAAAGAAATATGTTCAGGTATGCATCTTGTTGAGATGTTGCTATTGTGTTACATACTGGTACCTTGTTGTAAGAAAAAAGGCTACATTTTTTTGCTGTCATCCAATTTTGGGCTAAAAGTTCAACATGGTTCGGCGCTCCGTATCTCGAAAGGTTCGCTATGTTGCGCACGTACGCAAGCCTCTCGATTCCATAACCAATTATATTTCGAGATACGGGGCCATGGAATCGAACCTTTCGAGATACGGAGCCCAGGAGTTCCTTTGACTTTGATAGTCGTGTCACGTGCTCCCTGTAAACAAGGATGAAAAAAGAGGAAACTGTATATGTTATATGTAGAATTCTAGTAGATCATTTAAAGAAAAGCTGGTACTTTGTAAGTCTCAAGTCTGATTGGAAATAACGATGTTGAAAATAGCGAAAGTTGTTCAAGCATGTCGTGGACAAGCGAGAATTATACAATCAAGCCAGAGATCGACAAGTATCAAAACCACTCGGATATTTATGACCCCTTTCCAATCTAGTTTGGCTGTAAGTAACGAAGCATGTATCCTTCCTGTCCGGGGACTGACGAACCAATCTCTGCGTTTGAAAAAAGTGAGTACTCCACCAAAGCAATTCTTTTTCTTTAAGCTGCATAAACAACGAGTTGTTAATAGTTATCATAAATTCGTATTCATTCGGCGGACATGTGTGTGTATGATAGTAATGTAAGTCCGGCCCTTTGAAAGTCTTATCTTTATGCAGTGATATAGTTAAATGATACAATTATAAAGTTATACGGAAATCCTTCTGGTGAGCCATATATAAGACAAAAAATGAACGGTTTGCAACTTCAGCTACTTCAACACAGTTATTACCCTTGTCGACTTTGAATTTGTTTAACAAATCTGA